ATTGGAGTTTAGTAGCAAATGATGGGCGCGTGATGTTTTTATCATCTTTAGTTCGCAAGGTTTTGCGGAACAATTAATATTGTTTTTATACAACCATGCCTCAGCGGGCCTTTCAGGTAGCGCGTCTTGACCTAGGTGCATTTTAACTTCAGTAGTTGAACGCGGCGCGTCCGCTGGGGAAATGGGGGTGGCACCCCCGTGACCTCTACCGCTGTATCTGTTCTTAAGGCATAATTGAAGTCACGTGCAGTTCCTCGAGTGGCCGCTGCGGGAGAAATGGTGGCGTTGTGTTCGTCATTAGCTCGGTACTCGGAGACAGATGGGGGCCATTTTTTTAAAGCTGTCTCTATGGGAGTTTCCCAACTGAGTGTTTTAGTAACGTTGCACGAACGTTTATTTTTCTACGTGCGCTTCTCACGCGTCCCAACTTGAAGCAGCGAGAAAAAAAGTAAAAAGTACTTGAAACAGACCACGACGAACAAGAACGCTGGATCCAGAAACACCCGGGAAAAGCTCCAACGACCACGATTCCAACGAACACGACCAAGCGAGTACGGCAGTTAGGCCTAGCAGGCTCTCCGCGACTTGGCGACCGTCTGCCCACGACCGGCTGGCGTGCTGAATCGAATATGCCCGCGCGACCCTTGTGAACCCTTCCCGTATTGTACTTTGATCGCTGACCTCAATTTTAGATTAAGAGGTCAATTTCTTCCTCTTGTTATCTCCTTGTTTCTCGAGGCAACGGTGACTCTCGCCGGTGAAAAAGCGGTGAATCTCCGACAGACGCAGGAAAGGTAAAGCAGCCATCGCTTTGACTAGCAGACGTAAAGCAGACGACGTTAACTGCACCAACTCGCCGACGCCGTTGAAGAATGAGGGGTCTCGCCGCACACGAATGGAGGGAAAAAGTATTTGGGAGGAAACTTGCGGACACTAAGCATCCTCACCTCTCGGTTCTTAGCAAACAAACCTCGGCGCCTCGGGACACCTCGCCATTGAGTCCTTTGACTTCCCTCCTTGATGCACGTCTGCTAGTTGTTAGACAAAAACAACGTGCCGCTCGAGTTATTTTGTCTGCCCTCTCTGAAAGCCGAAGTCGAGCTCGCTCGTAAAGACCTGCACCTCCGAAAGTCGCAGGAAAGGTAAGACAGACGCAGACGACGTTGCGAGCAGACGACGTTGCCAAGGAGCAGACGACGCTCAGATAGGGGGTAGCGATCAGCCAATCAGGGCTTGGCGTTCTGACGTCACCGCTACTTCCTTTCTCATGCGCAGAAGACGAAAATGAGCCCACTTGCGAGGCGTATAAAAAAAAGAATGTCTGCGTGAACCAGATACTCCCCCTGTGGAACCATGGGTGTTTCCCTTCGAATACCCAGCTCAGGCGAGACTTACCTGGTTGTCAGAAAGCAGCTGTAGGTTAAATGTATTGTTGTGAGCGTGTAGGTTTCAGATGGTTTACCCTCAAGAGGATAATGCGCTGCATATTGTAACCATGTTTGCGCTGCACATTGTAGCCATTATTTCAATGCCGTGCTGTAAACTATTACAACTTTTTCCTTGCCTGATCTACGTGGGCTCATGTTTTCTGCTCAAAATGATGTGAAATAGTTTCTTGTTTTCTTTGAATCTTATAAAGCATTACTTGTTCAGCCCACATTGTCTCAGTTTTTGGACTTAAGTTAAATGTTAAAACGCGTGATAAAAATTGTCACGGCTTATAAGCCATTTCTTACAAGTGAACGTCGGGTGATTCTCGGATGGTCGTGGCAGCCACGAAGAAATAGAAGATTTTCACCCCTTTGCGACCGTCGCTTGGGTGGTTCGTCGCATAAATGGACACAAGAATGAGTGACAAGGGAAGCGAGCTGATTAAGGTCAAGAAAAAGAAGACGGGCAGAAAAGAACACAGAGAAGTTAACCTGGGGTATTAAAAACATACTAAAACAATCTCGAACTTTAGTATGTGCCGTTTCGTTCCGCTATAAAATAAGAAAGGAAAAAAAAAACTGCTTCTGAGTTTTAGATATTCCTTTCAAATATCTAATGTTCGGCATTTGCGACCAAGGAAATGGGCATTTCATTTAAAATGCTCACCATCCGACAATCCGAAACCGCTTCTTTAAAGTCGCAATTGTTTTTATGTAAAGGAAGGGTGATGCAGCTTGTACCGTCCAATACATTGAAGCATCATGTTACTAACGATCGTGCCGCAGCGTAATTGATGCCGCGGTACGACCGCTGGCAGGTCGTAGCTGTATCAGAAATCCTATGTGCACTCCACCAAAGCGGCACCAAAGATTCATATTTTCGCGCGTGCAGCCGCGCATGCGCACACCTTCCGGATAAGGCGCCGGACGCGACACCTGTCGCGATCAATACCACGCGCTTCAGGCGAGCCCCTTCGGTCCCAACACTACCCAAGTAGTCTAGTACACTGTAGGGGGATCGGTGGCCGAGTGGTCTAGCGCACACCAGCTCGGAGCACGTGGAGCGAAAGCTCGCGCTGCAGAACCCAGGGATCCTGGGTTCGAGCCCCACCCCTGCCCGTTTCGATCTGGATGAGCATCGTACCGGCGTGCGGTCGTGTATCACTACTGCGTGATGCACGTTAAAGACCCCAGGCTAGCGGCTGTACTGCACTGGCTAAATTGCTCATCTACAGCTGGGAGACTCGTCGCCCCTGTGAGGCAGACCAAGTTCTAGGCTGTATAAACACACACACAACCCAATTTTTTTTTTTTAGTACACTGTAGTCATGTTGTGAAACAAAACCACGTTTTTGGGCGGCGAGAGTTACTTTGTGAGCTGAAACGCTCTCGCGACCACAGGCGCGAGAGCGACGTCGGGTGTTGCCGTCCCCACGTGCACGTCGCTGCAGATATGGCGGTTTCTAACTTGTTCATCGACATTCCTGGCCTTCTTTAATCAGCCTCTAGGAAAAAAAAGAAAAACTTTAATTCAAAGACTGCTTGTCGAAATATTGATTACCTAGGTTTCTCTTGGTGGACTTTCTTTCGAGAGGCAGCCCGCTACGTGAAAAATGTGCCACGAAAGAAAGTTGGTGAAGAGAAGTGAGCTAAAGCAAAGAAAGCAATGTGTTCACGTGTAACCCGCACATCGCGCTCGTTTGTCTCGAGTTTGGTCGTTGCACAAAGCGCTCCAAGAACTTTTTGACCCTGGCTCGCGATGTCATGCATCGATGCGCTCAGGTTCTTGTTTTCTGTGTGTTTAGCTTATACATCGCCTGCCGGCCTGGCAAGCACAGGCCGGCAGGCACAAACCGGCCGACTGCCTTTTTTTTTTTTTGTATGCTGGACAGTTACATTTTGCACACTATTTTGGGAACCAGTTGGCGACGGAGGGGAGTGGGATTGTTTCGCTTTCAATTGAACAGCCGTTGTCTCCGCTCGCGCAACGCAGCACGTGCCACTGCAAGCCTGCTGATGTTGCCCTCACGTGCCTGTGAACATGACTGCATGACAGAGGCGCCAGCCGGGGCGCTTGCAATTCATTGTTTTGCGTTTGCTTACTTTTGACGAAAATCTGGCACGTCGGGAACCAGCAAAACGGTGGCAAGCGTTCTTTTCGGAATTGCTCAGCAACGCCTACAGCACTGTACACTTGTAGAATGTCTCAGCAGTAAAACCAGTGGCAGCGAGTTCCGTCACAACTCGTCACATCAGAACAGAACACAACACAAAGTAAATTCGTTTGTAGAGCCCTTAAAAGAAATATGTTCTGTGTTTCTAAGAATATCTGCTCCAAAAGCCACATTTGCTGCTCCAAAACACTGTTTGGGCTGCTCCAAAACACTGTTCCGGCTGCTCCAAAGGCCACTTTTGCTGCTCCAAAAGGTGCTCCTAAATGGCTTAGGCCAATCACATCACTGCTATCGTTACTTCTAGAGTTTAAAAAGGCGCGTGGCTGTTCGCGCTTTTTGTTTTGTGATTCGTTCTTTGATGTACCAAGGCCTCCATCTCATTGCTTGCAGCGGCAAACAGCTCTTACCTATGAACTGATTTAAAGGGAAACTACAACGCATTTTCGGCGCTTATTTCTTGGTCTATACATGTTCGAGGGAGCAGTATCACATCGGACACAATAATCTTTCGTTGAAAAAGACGAGAAAAGGAATTTTAAAACGAATTAAACGATTAGCAGTGGCCACCTGGTGGATGTCGCTAAAGCCTCGTTTGTAATGCCCGTCTAGAAACCTCGAAAGGTAGTGACGACACCTGTCTCACCGAGAGCTATACATGCATTGAAGCTGACGTCATCCCGCCAGCTCTCCGCTCAACACGAGAGAAGAGGGGAAGGAGGAACTCCCCTTTCATGGGGACTCTTTAGACGTCGCCATTGTCCCTCTAAGAGTCTAGAAAATGATAAAAGATCAATCTGTCACACAAAATTCGTACAAAAGTAGCTTTACCAGGGGCGGATGCAGGAATTTCCTGAAAGGGGGGGGGGGGGGGGGGGGTCAGGTGTTGGTCAGCGTACTATATGTTTAGGAACCCCCTCCCCCTCTCCCTCGTTTCACGCCCTAAATATTACAGATGCAGAAATCAAGAAGGGCGTCAGGACATCCGGACTCCCCTCTAAATCCGCCCCTGAGCTTTACGAATACTTGCGGTGGCCCGATCGCTGGCGTGCTTCGGCCGCTTCGATGGCTGAACAGCTATTTGGGAACATCCTATCGACGTTAACCTCGCCTCAGCTTTGCTCGTCCCGAGACAATCTACGTCACGATTGCGCCGGATGTCACGTGCTTACGTGCGTAAATAGAAATCACGATTTCCATTTACAGATATTGTGGATCCTTATCAGCCTATTTCTGAACACGACGGGTATATTTTAAATTTGGTTGAAGTATCCCTTTAATACCACCCTTTAATACCACCCTTAAATCCCCACCGTATATGCCCACCTAATATCGGTGAAACGCTGCCGGAGCACACATTGGAGTTGTGCGCTAAGCAATAGAGGAAAACAGGAAAAGGCTAGGAAATACCAGCTTTATTCCTGATACAGCTGTTGATTAATGAAATCATTTTCCTGGGTACCGGTAATCATTTCCTAGCCAGTACCTTGGGTACTGGGGTTTTCCGCGGCAATTGGTGCGATAGCAGCAATTTGGGTATGGCCCGGTTCCTCTGACGATTTCGCAGTTGTACGGGTTTCCGATGAGACCGCACCTTCGAAAAAAAAGGAACGAGGCAATGATTTAAGACAGGTATATTAGACCCAACAACATCCCTCACGAAAACTGCGTATAAAATACACCCGCTATAAAATAATAAGTACACTCGATTGAGAGTGTTTCGAATAGACAGAGGGAATTAGAAGTCATTGAACTTAAAATCACATTAACTGAGTAAAAATATGGCTAATGTAATAATATAAACCGCAGCAAATGGCTCCAAAATGCATCTGAAAGCGATGAAAGAACAGCAACAATGGTATTCGGGAATACGTAAAATCACATCTGAATATGTAGAAAGGAATTAAAGTACGTGCATTTGGTGCCAACCAGTGCTGCGGAGTAAGCACCCTCATATTTTGTTCAAACTCCATTCTGGGGAATTAGAGGTCCCAATGATTCAATTCTTTATACCGTTAGGATTGGGGTGGCTGAACCAATTCCCACTTTTAGAATGGCTGAACCGTTCCATTCCGTACCTCTAATTCCTAAATGCGTAAAACTGGCTCTTGTAGATGGTTGAGTGCGTGGGTTTCTAATTTATGGAGCAGCATAAAGCTAATGTTATCAATGGCATAGACGACTACAAACATATGCAAAACGCATTCCCCACGTTAGCAGCTTTGGGGACGCGTTTCAGAATCAGGTAGCGGCTTTGTGTGTCAGAGAAACGTAATCCCGTCATGGCTCTGAAGTGAGAAGCCTGGCGTCCGAGAAAGGCGGACGGTGTGGCTTTGTCTTTGCCTGGTGGCCAATGACCGGTGTTGTAATCGCAAGTGGTACCGAGAGCCGCGTTGTTGCGTCGCCCGGCGCCAAGAACCATCATGTTGTCTATCGACAACTTTTCATTTTTGGTTGCTTTACTGGGAGCTTTTTTTCAAACAGATTGGCCAAAACACGCGTGTCAAAAAAAAAAAAAAATTACGCGAAAAAACAGTTTAGAGCAATATTGACGGCACGAGATTTATTTCAAATTCTGCGCGCAAAGTCCATGACGTCACGGAATGGTGATACACTCTTTCCACCTCAACGCGATGGCCAAAGTGATCCAGCTCTCCTCCGCGCACCCGAAATGCCCAGAGAGAAAACAAGTAGAAAGGAGGTGACAACCGACTAAATCGCGCCCTGCACCGTCAATATTGCAAAAAAAAAAAAAAAAAGGCGTATTTTTTTTTTTTTTTGGCACGCGTGTCCCGATTAGGTTAATTAAAAAGAACACTTCTTTTTCTTTTCAGTGGCCCTTTAAAGGGGCGATGCAACAAATATTGTACTTTGCGCAAATACCGCTTAGAACGGATTCCTGACGTTAATGACTTATGAAACACGCGTTCGTTTTTCACTTCACGCAATAGAAGTCACAGAAAAAAAATTAAAGAAAAACGAGCAGCGTTCACTCCCTCAACTCGCAGCCAGAACAAGCGGCCACGTGATCTGGAGTCGATTATATGCCGCCAATGTTGATCATAGCCACGCGCTGGGGTTGGCAAAGCACAGGACACGCGCTCCGTTCCACACATTGTTATGGCTCGGCTATTGTCGTCGCTGCAGCGATTGGACGCGGGCCACTACCCGAATGCTTATCGAGCAAGTAATTATCACGAGCCCAAATCAAGTGCCCGCGTGATGCTATCGTCATTGGGGTGTACTGCGATCCACACGTTACGTCATCAAATTTTGCAAAGGAGATATTGAATGAAAATGATCGCTTTTGTCCTTAAAATTACACCGCAACAAAGGAGTTTCTTGGTCAGTGGCGTTGCGTGCGAGCATCCTTGAGTCCCACTAGTGCCAGCGAGCTCGTGTAAGGTGAAAAACATTCCTATTTAATATCGTTGCACCGCTCCTTTAAGTGCAAGGATGTTGTTTCAAGAGATACTTTGACCATCGGCTAATGTTGCGCCTGCGTGCCGTTGTCCCCAGCTGAAGCTCGACCCAGCTGTAGTGATTAAAACTATCGATAGTGGACTATCGATAATATATTAAATAGTTGAATACCGATAGTACAATCGATAGTACTATCGATAAACTACTGATAGTCAACTATCGATAGTCGACTATCAATAGCTGGTTCTGGTTGACTATCGATGCTATCAAACGTCAACTTTCGGAAAACCATCGAGCGTTGTAAAAATAAAAGTGAAGGTCAAAAACGTGGTGACGACCCACATGTACAAGCACACAACGCGGGACTCTGGGCAAAAGATGAGATAAAAGGGAAACTGTAGCATAACGTTTAATTTTTATAAAACAGATAAAACCGAAATGGCGTTTTGCTACTTTTCCTGCGCACATATATTGTATATTCGTCAGGCTTAGATATCAAGCTTCGTAGTCTGGTACGCCCGCATTCGTAAAAATAAAAGGTACATTCAGTTTTTTTTTTGTGTGTGTCGGAGATAGGGAGAACACTCGTTGAAGATATTTAGCACAAAGGTTTTTCACTAGTTTGTTTCACGCTGTTGATTCTTTTCCCACTTAAATGTCACACATTACTTTCTTATTCTTGAACTCTGATAGGTGGAAATAGGCAATCTGCTTAGGATTATACATTTTTAGCTAAGCTCGTTCGTCGTAATAGGTTTGTCACTTATTTACGATTTCATTTGGGCAGATTTCGATCACGGTGCATGGTAATGGCTTGGCGTTGAGTATAACTTCAAAATATAGGACGTGTCTCGTCATTTTTAGTCAATAGGGAGCGTTCCTACGGGGAACGCCTAAGACACAGCGGCCCAGCACAGCGCATGCGCCGAACCCAAACCACGTTGTGGGGTAGGATTCAGCCTTAACGGTGATCTCGAGAGGCCCCTGAACGAAAACAGCGGTGCCCTGCATCGCACGCTTCAGAACACAACTATCAAAGTCTCTGTACTAGTCTATTAGGCACGTCGATAGGGATGATTGGTGCAGAGGCTTTCGCTTTGCCTTACCTCGCTTAAATCACAAAATATGAGCAATGGTCTCGCCCCGTTTTCTAGATCTTCTGATTTTGGCCGGTCTTTAGACTGAATGAACGCTGTAATTGCTGACAATGATAGCGCCACGCGAATGCTTGTCTTGCCTCGATCTGGCGCAAGAATGAAGACACGGGAAAGGAAGGGCACGCATAAGCGCTGATTCGCAACCGCCTCGAAAGTTCAAAATCAAAAATCTTAACTGTAGCCCATGGTGTAATCTAGCCACGCGCAAAAGACAGCTCCCGTGGCCGTTCGTCGTGCCTTGTACAGCGGGTGTACTGGACCCTACTGACATGGTGGAAGCTACGGCGGACCACTGGGCGGCACAGACTGGACGCTGCGTTGCATCACCACTCTTTACTAGACAGTGGGGGTTCATCTTTTTGTGCGGATACCCTAATTAAAGCAAAGTTGAACTGAATCGTGAAAAGTAAAGTCCCTGACTTTACTTTTAACGTGACTTTAGTGAAAAGTAGAACAAGGAGCGTGCTACGAGGGAAAGCCAGAAAAGGCTTTTGGAAAAGGAAAACGACGAAAGCGCCTATATATGTTTGAACCGTAGTGGTTTGGTCTTGATTTCAAACATCCAAATTTTCCATGATTTCTAATACACAGGTAAATTTGTTTTTACTATACTCAGTCTTCGCGAATTGGGACCCCTAACGTTGTCACCCCCTATTAGGAAACTCCCCAATAAATCTAACATAAATCTGGTTGTAGATGTTTCAAATTGAGCACTACCAGACAAAAAGGTTTACCGAGCCAACATGGTTAGCTACCGATGCTTTTTTTTTTTCAGTTACATTAAGTTTGGGAATATGAACGTTAACTGGCTCAAAAACAGAAAATAAAAACGAAATTTTGCTGTAATCCAAGTAACGACGTTATTAGCAATGAAGCGTTATTTGAGCGAAAAACAACAAAATTATCTTGTGAATTCGAAAGGCAGCTTTGTTTCCTTTGATTTGATTGGTCGAAAAAAAACAAGAAAAAAAACGGCACACACCGCTTCTATGCGTATTTACTTCTCAGGTGAGAAAAATATCTATTGATTTCTCTCTGGCCGCCGCCATCTTGCGATTTGAGCGACCCCTATCAAGCAGAAATTCCTGCCACCCGCCTGAGCTGTGGAAACCCGGTCAAAGCGACTTCCACCTGCATTGTGTATTCGGAGTTCGCCGGCTTTTCTTGAAAGTTTTTACTTTATTTGTTCGTTCAGAATCCTCACCCTTTCTGTGTTATCTTCCGCTGTGAGAACCAGTGAATACCGGGGCTCATAGCCTGTTCGGCTTTAGAAGGAAACGAGCGAAGAAAGCGAACGTCAGGAAGTCCGCGAAGCGGGCCGTTCGACATTTTTCGAGGATTATTTTAGTTGAGACAATCTCCGAAAAGCCTTCCGGGCTATGTTCCGTTCCCGGCCTTCGCGCGAAATAGCTGATAGGGTCGGCTGCTGGGTATAGCGATTGAACAGACACGCTCGCACGTTTGTTCATTTGCTTTGGTGCTGTGCAAAAAAGCATCTGTCTTCAAAACGTGCCCCAAAACAAGCCGGATTCCGTCCGATTCTCGCGAAGTGACTATCGTCGACACTGTATATATCGGATAAGTATGCTGTGTTATTTCAGACCTTTCTCAAATCCTTTTCGGATAACACGGCACCGTAGGGTACGTACAATTTGTGTTCGATTGATGGGACTCGTTGAGTTTCATGTTGTGAGCGGGGAATGCCTATGCAGTTCGGCTATCCTGTGTGGTTAAATATTTTCTACAGTAGTAGATTGACACGACTGAGTGTACGTGCCGTAGAAAGAACAGATCACCATAAAGTGAAACAAACATTCCAGTTGCATTTGCTCTGCTGCACACGGACTCACCAAAATAGCTCTCATTTGTTTGTTTTAGAGCGCAGCTCTTAGGGGCCCGTCTCCAGCCTGAGCGGCGTCGGCGTCGCCGTTGGCGTCGCCGTCGGCGTCGCCGTCGCCGTCGGCGTCGGCGTCACCGCGCCCCTCCCTCTCCTCCTCCTCCCCTCCTCCTCCTCCCCCTCCTTCCCCTCCTCCCCTCATTGTGTAGTATGGTCCGGGCGGGTCACGTGACCTCGGGGGGAGGGGATCACATGACCCGTTTCCAGCCTGTGCGGCGTCGGCGTTGGCGTCGCCCCTCCCCCTCCTCCTCCTCCCCCTCCTCCCCCGCCAAGGTCACGTGACCCCGGGGGGTGACTCCCCTCCCCCCGCCGAAGTCACGTGACGGCCCGCCCAAGGTCATGTGATCCCGTCCCCTCGAGGTCACGTGACCCCCCGGACCTCTGCCGGGTCCGGGGGGTCACGAAGGTGGAGGAGGGGGGGAGGAGAGACGAGGAGGCGGAGGCGAGGGGAGGGGAGGAGCTTGAAGGACGAGGAGGTGGTAAAGGAGAGGGAGGGGGAGCAGGAGGGGAGGAGGACTAGCAGGCATGATCACGAGGGAGGAGGAGGAATATACCCTCCACTCCTCCTCCTCAAGAGCTGCGCTCCAATTCGGCGTTACAGGAACTTGTAAACGGCTTTCACTTTTTTGTTCCAAAAAAATAGCACAATGCTTTCTTAAAAACCTAGATAAATTATATTCGCCATGGAACACAAAAGAAAAAATAAAACGCTGCAATTTAGCCGCCACCAGCGTCCGGAATTGCACCTACGCAGGCTGCCACAACCCACTGACGAGAAAACCCACAGCCCAGCGCAGTCAGGCAACACTGACGTGTATTCTCAAAACCAGGAACGCGCGCTGTAAATCGCTTCGTTCGAGACTGCCGCTGGAAAGGTCTATATAAAGCAAAGTGCAATTACTTTAGAAAAGCAATAACGAAACCGAAGAAAAACTACGACACCCCATAGAGAAAAATATAAATATTTCAATATAGGCATCTTCTATTTACAGGTTTTCGATAGTGTACAATCGATAGTTTCTTTATTGCTGATTGTCAATAGTTTCTAGAAATAATTTTTACCGTTTTTTATAGCTTTCCTATACGTTTTAGACTGCGCCTCAATAATTATCGAAAGTCTCTAATTGCAGTTGCTTTTTTCTCTGAGCTTCAGATTTTCTAGATGGACTCTTGAAGTGCTTCGTCACCTAATAAAATACTTTTGATAGCTTTATGATAGTCGGCTATCGATAGTATACTATCGATAGTAACACGATATTCAACAATGGATAGTATACTATCGATAGTATTATCAATATCGAAAGTACTATCGATATTTGTTTACTATCTATAGCACTATCGATAGTCTATTAACTATCAAAAGTTAGGCTTGGCTTCCACTATCGATAGTATCGATAGTGCTATCGAGAATTTCTTTTCACCACTAGCCAGGTGGCGTAAGAACCGTTCCCATTCCATCTAGAATCATTCACACTCCGGAGTGGCAACCCCACAGCACTGGTGCAGATATCTGTTTGGTAATATTCATACGTCCAGTTTCATGTGAAAGACTACAGCGATATATTGATAGTAGCCAATTCGCCTAAAAATTGGTTCAATAAATTAATAAACACACCTGACCTAATGATTTAAACTCCAAAAAATATTTTTCAGAAGTTATCAAATTTTAAAGTTGGGTCTGAGAGGCTTTACCGGCAACACAAAAAACGTGACGTCGAATGTCGTAACAAGCACGTAGCCAGGGGGGGGGGGCATGGGCACCCCCCCCCCCCGAAATCTTTTAATTTGCTGGGACCTCATCTCCCCCCTCCCCCTCATACAGCATTTTGTCATTTGCGCCCCCTTCCCTCCCCCGAAACAAAATCCTGGCTACGTGCCTGTGCCGTAATATGGGGCAACGTTATTAGATTAGCTCAGTTACGGAACTGTTCATAGACGCGCTGCTCTCCCTCTCCTCCCACGACTGGCCTCCCGTCGTTCGACGCGCCGGACAGCTGCTATGGCAACTGCAGTGTATTCTGTGGAATACGCATGTTTCGAAGCACAGTGCCCAGATGGTGTTTCACAGTACGCTGTGGAACACAAAGTTTTGAAAGGAAACTCTAGACGGCGCTTCAAACGACAGGAGGCGGTCTGAAGTGGGTGAGGGGTGTGCGCCCCTCCGCGGGAGTTCCAACACTGTTGTAATTTAGTAACGTTGATATGGGGGCAGCACAGATTTTCCCCTACGGGTTACTAGAGGTTTGATGTCTTCACATTTAGCTGAAACCCCAGCTCAAACCAGAAAAAAACAAAAATACTGTGTTGTTCGACTTGCAAGTTATGCAACTTGTGACGTCACCGCACTCAATACGCGAGGAAATATGAATGTCTGTTTTAGCGTTATTTTCATTCGCTATTTTTTATTAGATATTTTGAATACAAAGATAAGGAATATCGTATAGGGAAGAGTAAAGCATGATCAATGCACAAATGTGTTTAGTTCGGCAGCTGAGAAAACCGCAGGAGCTCAATAACTATTGCAAGCAGCAAATCTGTTCCTGATATAAGCCTAAAGATACTCGTAATAACAGTAGACACCAAATTTAGTGCAGCAAAATCGATGTCTGAAGTATGCATTTTGTGGTTTCCATTCACACTACGGAGACTGTCCTGTCAATTAATAAAATATTCCAGTTCAGGAACTGTCACATTCGACCACACTTATTTGAGATTTCACTCACCCAAGAACGGCAAATGACCTGTCTTCGACGCTGCATTGCCAGGTCTGACAAGGATCCTCGAGGTTCAAAGATTCACCGTCAGGGACAAGGTAGTTCCCCCACTTGCATTTCCCTGTTGAAGCGTTTATATTTGGATTGAGGGGCCGACGAAAGCCGCATCTTCCATCGAGATCGACATGAGTGAAACGTCAAATCTTGATCTCTCCATCTGCAGCGCGAGCTTTGGCGCAACAGTCTACCGATGAGAGTTTTGATAGCGCACTCAGTTAATGGAGTCCCCAATGCCTTAAATGTAATAAGCTAACAAAAGAAAAAGCTCAACGAGTACCGTAATTCAGAACATATGCTGCCACAGGAAGTCTACTTGACACGGATGTGCTATGGGAGTGTGAGCAGTAACGCTTAGTGGTCGAATCCTTCGTAATCTTGAATATCGAGTAGAAAGTAAAACCATAGTTCTTTTGATAAAATTCGGGGTCTGCTAATACATACTCGAAATTCACCAGCCGACAAGATCCCAAAAACTAAATTCTAAAAGTAGTAAATATTCTTGACTCGTATAAACAAATTATGTCGGAATTCTTATTTTCAAATGTTCGGAGCTTGAATTACTTCGTTTTAGTTAATGAAAGTAAGCGGTCATAAATGCAATTTTATACCAAACTGTCGAGTCTTTCTTTCCAAGGCTCAAGATAAAGATAAAAATGCTAGCAAACCTTTGTGTATTAAAAAAGAAATCAACAAGCACCATTTTTGTTTTTACTTGAGAATTTATATACGTTTGATTGGAAGCGATATTTTATGTTTCCTATTGAGTTGGCGAAAACTATCGCCTCTTGTATAGAGTATGTTGAGCTACGGGATGAACGAGCAAGAAAATACCTCTTCTGGAGCGTGACCCTTTCTTCTGGAGCGTGACCCTTATTAAGATTTAGTAACGCGAATGTTTGAACAGGCATTTGAAGGCTTATACTTTGGTCGGTGAGAACAAGCTGGAAGTATTTTTTACGCCCATTAAAGGGGTAAAATGACCCGCACATTTTGTTCTTTAAGTATGCTAGTGTCTAAATCAAAGATCTTGCTACCAGTTCAATGACCATGACACAAAAAGGATTAATGAAAAGCAAATAGGTTAAAAGACCGGTTTTACTTACCGTCTACAATCTCGACGTCACTATAGGGTGGGACAGCCAGCGAGACCTGCCACATGAAGGCGAAGGCCACCAAAGTGTAGAAGACGTTTGTCGGAGTTCTCATCTCAAAGTCCTTCGGTTTCCGGGTACGTATGAGATCTGAAGGGCGGTAGTGTCTTCTTATACCTGGGGAGTTGCGACCTTCATTTTTCAAGGACGGCTTCTTATTCACGTTTTGTCACCGCTGATGACGTATATATCGTTTGCTTAATCTGTGCCACGGGGGGAAGGCGGGGGGGGGGGGGGGGGGGGGGGGGGGGGGGGGCTGTAACGCTATAACCGATAAGAAATGTGTATGCGATTGGCAGGTTGGGTCGTCGCAATTCGAAAGGATTTCTTACGTCGGATATGTCACGCTTGACATTTTCATCCGTGAAAGAGTCTCCGCAAATTGTGCAATTTCCCATCGCATCCCAAGAAGTGTCAATAGGATCTTGTGCTGTTACGTGAAGATTGTGAAACTCCGGCAGCAATCGTCTTGGAGTTAGTGTGATGGGACAAACCTAACATGCACGATCGCGTCAGTTCTTGAAGCCGACAGCGGCAGTTGTGCAACTTAAAGAAAACAGAAAGAGCCCATCAAATTAAACCCTCGTTCATACTTTATCCAGGACTTCCAATATAGCATTTACAGAATTTTTAAATGTGTCGTTGCAGTTATTCATCTGCGCTTCCTTCTTCACGTGTTATCTTCGCTGTTGAATAGTGCGGGCGTGCGCTTTTGATGGCAGGTCGGTTTCTAGCTATACATGTTGGTGCGCGTGTTGCTCTAAATGTTCTGTATGTCTCTCTCTGTATCAGTGGCGCAGCCAGGCGAGGGGCGTATGGGGCGTCAGCGCATTTCCCCCCCCCCCCCTCCCCCCAAGAAAGAAATATCCACCATACTTAATAAGACACATGCATTTTGTCAGCAACCGCCGCTCCCCCCCCCCCCCCCCCCCCCCCGAGAAAAATGCCTGGCTACGCCGCTGCTCTGTATAATTAATTAATTATTTAATTAATAATTAATTTTATAATATGTCACAATAATATACAATCAGAATCTGGACCCATAGCCAGAGGTTAATTTGGGGTCCAACAACAAAATGAAGGCTTGAACGTGACAGGAAACGTGCACAACATAAAATAAACATATACTTACCAAATACTAACATAGCAGGTAATTTTACACTTGTCTCAAACACACCATGACAATTTTTTATATTAAATTTTAACTAGCAGCTCAAAAAATCTTTTTTTAATTTTTTCTTTACACTGCTAGGTATATTATTCCAAATTAAGGCTCCGTTAAACTAAGTTAATCTTTGTTCATAGGTATTGCCAGATAATGGAAAATTAAACAGATTACTTGTTTAAGCCCTAAAAAGTCCTGTCAAGGATTAAAAAAAGACGTAGTTAAAGTGGGTTGGATTTTATTGTTGTGGGAACTGTTCGAGCAAATTTAGTTGGTATGTTCAGGGGAAAGAGGAAACACGCGTAACTGATCGAAAAAGAGGTCTGCTTGTGTCAACAGTTTTTGAGAATGTAAGAAATCTTAGAGCCCGTTTCAGTAAGCGAGTTTTCGGTTCGCGGTATTTGGTAAATACGTACCGCTCCAGACATTTATGGAGTAACTCAGTTGATTTTGGAAAAATGCAAAATAAAGCATGCGCAATATAAATAAATCAAAGCACCCCTGTGCCCTTAGCAATGTATAACTCCCGTAAAAACCTTTAAATTTTTATTTGATTTTTTTCAGCGCACATCTGATTCGAACAAGATACCTAAATATTTTTAACTGGAAACATGAAGCAACCGCGTATTATCTAGGTTAATAGGTAATCATTCATAGTGCACTTGTTTTTTCCGGGTCTGGAACACAGTGTACTTTGTTATCTAAATGTTAAGAGTAGGTTGATTGTTGGCGAACGAGAGAAGAACATAAATATTGACAAAATGAAAGCCACAATTTTTCGCCCAAAAAATAAGTGTCTTCATTACCGGTAAGATTGTACTAAACTCTTTTCCAACATAAATTATCAGCACTTTAAAAACTCCAGGAGTAATACTTTCTCAGCGAATAACATGGGGCAGCCAAAGTAATTCTTAGTTGCGAAAGAATCTCGTGTCATAGGACTCACGTACCGGCACAGTTCTGCACTTCCTGTTAACGTAAACTCGTTTTAATCTACAACTTGTTATTTCAATCTCTTCTAAATCACTGTAGCCACGTTTGGGGTAATGCTACTTTTACCAACTTGCAGAAATATATTTATTACGAAAAATCCTTACGAATTGTTTACAGCTTTACGATTTCTATACTGAGAGTTTGTGTCGATAATTTAAAATATTACTTCACCTTTACAAATATAGATTATGCATGAGCTTAAAAGTAGAAAATAGGAAACATAAACACGTTTAATAAACTCATTGGAAATGACAAGAAGCGATTAAGCTAATTTAACTTGACATACTGAGCACTAGACGGTTCCCTGCTGTAAAACAAGCTAGGAGTCACAAATTCCACGCTATTTTTTCTACATTGCTAAATTAACTTATGAATAGAGAAGCTTGTACAGATTCAATTTCCATAAAGACTTACGCTTGTTTCATTTGTACTGTTGATTGATCATTTCTGTGCTATGCAATTGTTTTCTGTTTTGTTCTACTGTATGTGCTTTATACTGTAGAATAATATTTTTTTCGTGCTTAGATCATTAGATGAAGGCAATATGTAAAAGCTATTTTTTAGCGTTTCTTATATTTCTGGTCAGTATATCGTAATTTTCGGGCTGTAGTCCGTAGTCTATACATGTTTAAACGTTGAAGTTTTAGGCTTGCGGACTACAAAGAAAATTTGTTTTTCAAGATCCTTCATTATGACCAGACGTGACGGATTTTGGAAATTAAATAGTACGGTAATGATGATCTGTGTATAATGCAAGCTTCTTTGTGAGCCAAGGAAGCAGACGTTTGTCAAGGTGTGCCGTGTATGAGAAGATTTTCGTGGCGACGAAGGCACCAAATGTGGACTATGCAAGGCGTGCGGACTATATCCCGGAAAATACGGCATATATATATATATATATATATATATATATATATATATATATATATATATATATATATATATATATTAAATGTCTTAGTGTGTGTTTCTTGGGCGGTGCTGTGGCTGTCACTGTACGGGGCTAACAGTTTGTCAAGCCTCCAATGCAGTTTTTTTTCTCAATGTCCGTCTGTCCTTATAGAAAATAAAATAAATGTTATTGTTATTTGGGTCCTGGTCCGTTCCTCGCTTTTTTCTCTTTCAGATCACCTCTTTCACCACAAACACACACAAAATCAATCCGTATCATGAGCAAACATTAACGCTTCAGACATATATAAAAAAAAAAAGACTGGGTCTCAGGACTGTGCCTTGGGCCGGTTTGCTGGTAGATAATAATAATAATAATAATAATAATAATAATACCTACATACATACACACACACATTCATACATACATACATACATACATACATAGATACACACGTACGTACGTACCTACATACATACATACATACATACATACATTTTATTGACTCAGTGGGACTATTAAAGAGGGATATGTTTGCGGGCACATCAAAGCCAGCAAAGGGCTTGTGGGATGACACCCTAAAAAATGAGAAAAGTCCGCTTAAGTGATAAGGTAAAGACATTGCCTTCAAAATGAGAACTGAAAGATAAGAAAACTCTCATCATCCCCCTTCCCCGCCCCCCTCCCCCTTTCCCGATAGTAGCACAGACTACTAATAACGAAAAAATACAGCATACAAAAGCAATATACAAACGAATGTAACAATGTAAATAAAATGAACACTTACAAACGTGAGTTTAAAATAAAGTGTAGCACAATGCACTGAGGCCAAAAAATAAAATAGAAAAAGAAGAGGCAAGATTTCGAATCTGCAGTAGCTCTAGCAACCAGCACATCAGAATCGTCATAAATACACACAGAACAGGCATTAAATACTATCAAGGTTAAGACACTTGAGTTCTTTTTTTAGAGTCTTCAGTGATGTGATATCATAAATACAGTTCGGGAGGGCATTGAAGACACGTGGCACATAAGATTCGCGCGAGCATTTACCATACGGGGTGCAACAACGTGGCACTACAAAACGAGGAGAGCTGCGTAATGTGCGGGACGAATGTAGCGGTGTCTTGTAATCACTGCTCCAAAAATTGCGAAGGAAAACAGTCTCAATAAAAAGTGAGCGGAAATTCGGCAGTTGAAGGCTTTAAAAAATGTCGGCAGTGACAGAAAGAGGCGTATTGTGGAGGATGTTGGTCAGTATGCCTCTTAATAAAGTGTTAACGTTTGCCTGCCAGCGGCCTGAACATATAGCAAACACTGTGATGCCGTACCGGAGCACACTGTAGGCAAGCGCGTGGTCTAACAGAAACCGAATATTGACGGGCATAAACATCCGTGTGTTATAGAGCATGCAAGATATAGTTCGTAGTTTACCGCATAAGTAGGACATATGAGTGTTCCAGGACATGTAAAAATCAAAATGAACACCCAAATATTTCACGTTGTTAACAGATTTGATCGGGTCACAGTTACACGGATGGCAGCATGAGGAGTGGAGAATAAACCTGAGAGTAGCTTGGCGTCTTTTAAGGGGATTGCGGAAGCAAACAAGCTTTGTTTTGGAGCTGTTGATGTCAGGGAGGTTATCCGCAAACCAGTCCATTAGATGGGCGGCATTCGTCTGGAGAATGTTGACTGCAAAAGGGAATTTAATATGACGCGAAGTAAGTAGGGTGTCATCAGCGTATTGATAGATCTTGCAGCCATTGATAGCGTGAGACATATCATTGACAAAGGTATTAAAGAGTAGAGGGGGAAAAACAAATCCTTGAGGTACCGCCGCTTTTAAAGAAAGTAGAGAGCTTCTAAATTTCCCAGTTAAGACGAATTGAGAACGATTAGTTAGAACATGTTCTAGTAAAAAATAGAACGGACCCCAAAAACCTAAGCGTTGTAATTGTTTTTAGAAGTAATTGATGACCGACAGTGTCGAAGGCCTTAGATACATCTACGAAGAGCGCACAAGCAAATATCT